CCATATACAGGCAATCCTGAACTTGCATTAAGCTGATTTTGAGGCAGGTTAAATTGTCAGTTCCTGTCAAGTGTATTTTCCCTGTTAGTTGTGGTCTCTCTTGTATTAACTACTTTGCAGGCTGCATGTCTATATAAAGTATGTGTTTGGGATTTTTTTCCAAACCTTATTGATTTTTATTTTGCTGTTGGCAGTGCTAACCTCTCTACAATACACCTGTATTTTTGAGTACCTCACCATTTGATGGTGTTTCAATGTTGATTTTAATGATGTTTTTCACATTAAAGAAATTCCCCAAAGAACAGCACATACCATGGCTGGAATAAAAGTGCAAGGGCATGATTAGATGTTCTTTCCCCCGTGACTGCTGGAAATTTGTGAAAGCATAGGCAAAATGTGATACAGCCTAGGTGTTGCTGCCAAGAATTGTAGTGATTATATCCTGCTGAGCAGAAACACTATCTTCCCTAAAAGGCAAAGATGGAGCAGAGTAGAGCAGTAGGTGGTGAGGTACAGATACCACAAATTATAAATTCTTGTCTGTAGTCTTTTTTCTGCCCAGCTCAGAGTCTTTTACAGTGTGGAGGATTCATCTTTGTAGTTGTGTTTCTAGTGCATTTCTGCAATGCACAGCCTTTCTGTATAAGTCATTCCTTAAAAGAGGGCCTTATTCCATGGTTGCCGTTTTCTGTGGCTTTTCTTGCCTGACAGCCACCATCCCTGTCACGTTTCACCTGCAAAAGGATGAATGATCTTTTGAGATTGTCTCAATTATGGGAGCTGTTCTGACCTGATATTGATCTTAGGAAGAAATCTGTGTGAGGAGGAAGGGATGGGTGAATCATTTTTCCTTACCTAGAGTGTGGAGTGGTTACAGAGCTCCTCAGTGGCTTCTGCTCTGCCTGTGCAGATTTAAACCTTTTCCCATCACAGATGACCCATAGGCAGGAGGCATCTCCATGACAAGAGTCCATTTAGGCTTGCTGCTGCCACCTCCACCTCTGCTTTCTCCCACATTATCCATCCAGTGATGTCCCTGAGGCGTAGCCTGAGCGGTCACCCATATTTGTTTCCTCAACTGTCAGTCAAAAAAGGAATCCTTAGCTCCTGCTAGCATTGCTTGTGTTGATTCTTTGCCTTGGATTAGCTGTGGATGCAAGGGATTCTCTTTCTGTTGAGTAATGCCTGTTAAATGCAGCAAGAGAGGAATGATCCCTATGGACAGGAGTTTATGATAGAGTAGGGCAGTGTAAGCAGTTGTCCAGAAGGAATCACTCACCTGGCATAATTCTTGGTGCTCTGCTAGTTGTTAGTAATGGACTGTGAACATTTACAGTTTTGAGTATGGACAGCACTAAATTATTTAAGCTGTGACTATAATGAAAAAAGTCTTTCAAATCGATTGGGGTTTTGGGGGGAGGTTGTTTGGTTTTTGGGGTTTATTTGAGATTAAGTATTGTGTTGACATTTTCAGACTTCGTGATGTAGTAAATGTCATCATCTGACATGATACAGCATGGTACATGTGAAATGATGGGCTATTCTGTGTGCTCAGACCCTGATCTGCTTCAGGCAGAAACTATGGGCATGTTTGAGAAGATAATTTTAATTAGCACAATTCAAAACCCAGCCATATTTGATCTAAGTTATCTAAATGTTGTTACACTCTGTCCATGGAAAAATTGTTTTTCCACTGATAATAAGAATGAAACTATCAGTCAGCAATGTCTGTTCCAGCAGTAAGTATTTGCATCTAGGTTAGTACAGCAAAGATTTCTTATTTTATTTTTTTTTCCCCAGCAGCTGTTTGCCTCAACAGTGACTTGAAGGTTTGCCAAGCCTCTGTCACAAAACAAGCTAGTGAGGACCTTTGGATGTTACTGTGCAAAGGATACTGTTCTAACTGAACACATGTTCTCAGGACAAGGCTGATACTCTCAGAAGAGGTGCCAGGTGGCAAAAATAGTTGTATTTTGTAGGACAGATAGAAAAGAATGCTGTGTCTTTCCAGATGGTATTTTGTTTTGTAGTTGTGGACGATTCAAGTTAAGGGCTTGGAGTTGTGGATGGCTTTCTAAATATGACTCCTGGAAGTGTATCTGGTCTCACTATTTGGTTTGATATCCTTAGGAGACCAGATACTCAAATGTAAGCGGGCTGCCTGTGTGTTACCACACAATTCAAAGCAGCTAGAAAGCTTTTTGTAGTAGTCAACACCATGTGCTCATAAATGAGTGAAGTGTCTTGTTATTTTGGGAAGTGCTAAGAAGTATTTTTAGTATATTCTTTTTATTTTTTTATAATTGGATGAAACATGATACCAGAATTAAACATTTTTGTTCTCTTCATTTGTTCAGAGTGAAAAATAGAAGCACACAATTTTAATATAAAGTACTGTTTTATTTGCTGTTACATATGTGTATACAGCTTGTATATACTCCATAGGATTGGGTATACTCCAAAGCTTAAGCATCTCAGTAAGTAATCTATGGAGACTTTATGTTTTAGATTTAATAAAAATCCCAAACTGACACACTGTTTTTGGCATATAATTCACAAAATATTGCTCTGTTCTTAACTTTGCAAAACTCATTGCATTGCTTCTCAGCAGCTACAATTTTTGACTTGTATACTTACTTATTTTACCATATTTAAAGGGGTTTTTTTTCCAACTTCAGTGCAAATTAATGTTTGCAGAGGTGCTAGATGGAAATAAAGGGTTTGCATTGAAAAATTCTCTTAAAGAAACCACCAGTGACTTCCAGAATGTCTTCATTCTTGAGACAGATTTGTATTTAAATTGCAGTCTTTAATCTCTTCATTTTTATAGTTCAATTTTAAAGACAAAATTAATCATGCTCAATAAATTGATTTGGCTTTATAAAGCCATATATTTCCTGTTCCTCATGTCAAATGCTTGTGAGTGTTCTCTTGAGTAGAGAAAGAAATTCTGGCTCTGAGAAGTAAAGATCGAATCCCAGCTGCAGTAAGGACTGTGTCTTTTTTCTCTTTTGACTGTAGTGTAGTGGTGTTGAGGTGGATGTCTGTTCCAGCATTCATCAGCACTATAGTGGGAAAAACAAAGGAAAAAAATTCGTAACATGAAGTTCAGTAATAGTTCCTGATGTTGTCACTTTGTACTGCACGACATGGCATGGCTCACTGAGAGACTTTACCTGGAATAGGTTTGTGCAGGTGCTTCTCAATTCAGCCAGTCATATGTGTAACTAATACAGAACAGTATGTGAGAATCCCAAGGTATTCTGTAAGCACCAAAGATGACTTTGAAGTGATGTGGTCTGGATGGAGCAACCCAGGCAAAAGAAACTTCTAAGCTGTAAAGACTACATATGTGTTACTTACAGGAAGAATCACAACTAGGTGTCTTTCCTGAGTTTATTAGATCGCTGCCCAAACCAAAAAAAAAAAAAATATTGTATCACCAGTTCAGATTTTGTTTTTAATTGGTGTGCAGTATTTAATGTGTAGAACTGTTGATGGTTTTTGTGGTCAGTTTTTGTTTGTTTGTTTTTTTAATTATTCATAACTGATCTTACCATTGAAGCTCTCCAGTTTGTTAAGCAAAAGAAATATTCCCTGAAGCAGATAAATTGGACCTGGGGGGATGAGGGGTGAGGTGGGGGCATAACAGTCATGAAAAATTTTTAGAAATTTTAAGTCTTGTCATCTTACCTGGTTTTAGGTTATGAATTCAAAGGGAATAAATGTGCAGAAACACATCAGTGACCAAGCTAGGGATTGAACTGAAGTAAACTGAATGGGAAGAAATACTTTTTGAAGTTACAGAAGCAATTATAATTGTGGGAAATTGGCTCCTTATTTTAGTACCTCATGGTATTGGGGTTTAAGCAATAAATTCTTTCCATTCAGTGTTATAATTCACAGTAAAACTTTGACCAGAAGCATGCAGTGCTTGGCAATTGTTTAACTTATTTTAACTGTTGATCATATGTCTTGGTCTTAATACAGTTTGTTGTAATTTCGGATGAAATTTAAAACATTGTGGCGCTATAAAAGAAAAAAGAGCTTAAAGTACTTTTTTTTAAATAGCCATGTTTTCACTTTTTTTCCTTCTGCTCTTTTTCAAAAACATAGGAAGACAGCATTGTCCAGGATGCTTCTCAGAAAATAGAGTTATTGCTTTTCAGTGATTCAAAAAACTGGTGAAAGATTAAATGATACTTCATGGCAGCTGATGCTGGGACTCCTCAGCTTGATCTCAGAAGCTCTAGCTTAAACCTTCCCTTATGTGAATTCCTGATGCAAATATTTGTAATAAATTTGTCATAAATGCTTTCTTGATTAAATGTCCCAGTATTTTTACTTTTCTTCCAAAGCATGATGTTGTTGGTTCATATTTAGGTCAGTTGTTGCCCTCAGTTTGTTGCAAGACGTGAAGCCTGGTTTTTGTGAAAATTAATAGAAAGCCTGAAACCTATTACTTGTGAAGGTTGTATTTCCTTACAATTTAGCCAGATTCCCATATTCTATATTTAAGTGTACACACATCAAGGGAAATTTCTCTTTCTCTGTAAAGAGAAAACTGTTATGGGCAGGAGTTGAACGGGGCAGTGGTGACTGTTACCTGCCGTTACTACCAGGTCTGAGCCTACCCAGCCCTGGCCTTTCAAGTGCTGCAAGGATTCCAGCAGGATATGATATGAAAGCTTTGTGCTCTTCCTCTTGATGAGAGAGTTAATTCTAAGTGAGCTTTTCGTTCCAAACTGCTTTCAGAGCTATGAATTGTTTAGTAGAGAAATGATAAAATCAATGACACTGGGCTGAAGTTTGTTTCCAGAAATTTGTTTATAAATCCAGTTGTTTTGTACAAAGCAAATCTGAATTAAACTGAAAAACAGTCCTTAGGTTTCTGTAAGAGGAAACCACTTTGTAAATGCTGTAATATGTAGCACATTATTTACTGTTTTTACATTTACTTTCACTGTTTTGGGGCCTAATCCTACAATTGTTTTATGCAGGTTTCACCTGGAACATCTCGTTCAAGTTACCCAGCTACCAGCTATCAGGACTCGAGCAACTGGGAATCTCTAATGAAAATTAAAGAAGGGCTGCTAAGACAGAAGGAGTTTGTGATTGATAGGTAAGTAGCCAGCTCCTGCTGCATTAATTAGATTAGATGAAGTAAAAGCTACAGTGTAAAAGCTGGCTTTCAGGAGAGCTACTTAGAAAAGTTGTTAGGTTTCAGTCTAGCCACTATTTATGCCCAAGTATGTAGGAGGAGGTAATCCGGCTAGGAGAGAAGACTGGCAGCTGGCCTAAAGTCTTACGCAAAGTTCGAAATGTATTTAGGAGGTTTAGTGCCTCTGGAGTGGAAAAGGAACAGTGAGCCCAAGAGCCACTTCTGCTGTCAGGTTCCCCTCTTAGCTTCTTACCAGGCTACAGGTTTGTATAGGACATCTTTCTGCTTGTAAGGGAGTTCCAAGGTGGAAATTGGTCAACTTCATTGTGCTGATTTTCTTTTCCATCACAAGTACAGAAATATTTGAAGCCAGTTGATAAAACTTTGAGGAACTGGCCTTTGTAGTAATATTCAGCAGTAAAGTCCTATTCAAGTCCTCATACAAATTGTTCTGATTAAAAAAAAACCTAAATCATTAAATCCAGAATCTTTATGCCAATAAATATATAAGCTTGTATTAAAATTCCTGTCAATCTGAATGGGCCTTAATAGCAACTCACTTCCCAAACTCACAGTTTCTAGTACCAGGAGGATTAGGCTTGTGCAAGATCTGTTCATTCCTCTATTGCAACAGAATGAGGTATTGCTGTGGCTGAAGGTATTTCTGTCCCTTAGCACTCTGGCCAGTAGCTGAGAAGCTGTGGTGGCTTTTCAGCAATCACTGAAGTTGTCAGTGAGTTCCCCAGTTGGATGTAGGATGTTAGTGTGGGTTTACCTGCTGCTGCAGCAAAGATGGCGCAGTTAGGAACTGAGGCATGGGCTCACCATCCCACTCTGCCAGCTCTTCTGCAGAGGTGGTGATCTCCTTAGGGGATAAGAAGTTAAAACGGAAACATCTTTGGCTGTTGTTTACATCTCCTCTGTCAGAGCCCTTTGATCAGCTGCTTAAAGGCCATCTAAATTACAGTGGGTTTTTTTCAGGCTTGCTGAGTCAGTAGTAATGCTGCAGTAGCAAACCTGCAGCCCACCTCCTGGGGCCCAGGCTGTCTGCAGTGTTTGTGAGCGCATTGCTCATGATGGCTGGGGTGGTCTTCTGTAGGGGGATAGAATAGCAGCAAATAAAGGTAGTATAGAAAGTAATCTTACCCCTAAGAAGTTTCAGCTGAGCCAATTATTAAAGATTAGGAGCAGGCCTGACTTTACCAGGCCGCAGCTGCAGCCAGTCAGCAGAGTGTTATAGAAGAGTGGATTGGTTGGCTGAGGGAAGTGGAGTCAGTTGGCTGCTGTGAGGACAAGGAGGAGTCAGTGCCTAGAGGAGCTGTCCATGAGAACTATCAAGGATTTATGAAACTCTTGTAATAAGGGGACAACAATATGGAACCCTTGCAATGTAATGACAACAGTCTTCAGTGCCTCTGCTGGGCTTACCATCCTGTGCACTCTACATGAAGGCTTGTTACACACTGGCAGCTAAAAATGCAGTTGGTGTTGCTCTTCTGACGCTGAAAGTGTGTTACAGTCAAGGAAGAAGTTTCTGAAATGACTGCAACCCGGCTGCCTGCTAATGTTACCTGATACTGTCCACGTGGAGGAAGAAAAGCTATTTCTTGATACCCAGTGACGGTGTGCTGGTTCTTTTTTTGTACAATTTCTTTTGTGTGACTTTCTGATAATGAATACAGTTCCTTCAGGATTTCTCGCCAGAAGTCTGCTTAGATAATTTCTTTTCATTCAGCTGAAAAGGAAACATACAGTTTGGAAGCTATTGAAATGGAACAGACCACTTAGTGATGTTACATATTCAAGTAGATACTTGGTGTTAAATACTGTAATTTGTAATAATGCAGTGTAACAGAACAGGCTCTTCTTTGAATATTGAATTTCCATTTGAGCAAAATATTTGTCTAAAAGGTATTTTTAAATGAAATAAAAACATCAGTGGATTTGTATTTTCAAGATTAATACAAATTGATGTTGCATATTTACGAAGTTTTAACAACAGATTGTTCAGGGTTTTTTTTAAAGAAGAGATAGTGCTTTCTGTGATACATAAAAATAAAATACTTTTGGTTTCCCTCATGAGGAAAATGGTACATATCTGCTGTGCAAAAACCTTGGAATAAAACTCCATTAAGAAGCACTAGTGTTACATTTCTTATTAGATGGGGTGTTAATAAGGCTTAAGTGTGAAAACTACCTTTCTTCAAGGCACAAAGCAGCACTAAATGAAAATGTGGTGTTACCTTCATTTAGCATGTGGGAGCACTGGGCCTTCTTGCACTGAGCTTAGAATGGTATTTGGGAGTAAACCTAAGTATTCTAGCTCCTGGTCTTCCTGAGCTTAATTTAAACTTCTTTTCAGAGTCTGAATTTCTTTGGGAGTAGTGACCTAAAATAAAAAGCATAAAGTTTGCTAAAGTGTAGTTAATTCAACATGGTGGTAGCTAAACTGCAGAATAAAATTTATGTTTTGGGCAAATGGAGAAGAAAGTAATTTGTTGAATGAGGTTAGGTAGGAGGTGTTTGCTGAGAGGGCTCTTTGTACATGTGGTTTTCACAGAGTTATAAAAGATGCAGTTTCCTTAAGTTGTATGCTGAATTCACAATCTGGTAGTTGAGGGGACAGGAGCTCAGAAGAGCTGTGTGAACCTCCTGCTGCCTGGTAGCCAGAGGAGCGGGACAGCAGCTGGCACGGTTCCCCAGACCCAGCTGTGTGCTGCTGGCAAGTGCAAGGAACAGCTGGATGGAAAGAGGCACACCAGCAGTGCCTCCCTCCTGCCCTTGTCACCAGCCTCCCTTTCATCCACGGGGTCATTAACCCTTTTTTTTCAAGGTTAAGCACTCTTTTGTTGGGAATTGTACTGGTCCCACTTATTGAGGAAGTGGAGGAGATTAGCATCACACACCTTGTTCTTGATAGCAGTGCTTATTAAATCTGTTGATATGTAGGAAATGGATACTCTGTACAGAGTAGTATCTTTAGGCTGTTGTACCTTGGTCTTGTTAAAAAAGGGAGAAAGAGCAGAAGGAAAAGGAAACATGCTGCCTGCTTTCCTTCTTTCCACACAAAAAGAAAAAGGCAAAAAAATCAGCCCTTCTAGATTAGATTATTAAATTTCCTTCTTTTGCATTGGAAATCTACCAGATAGGAATAGTAGCAAGTAAGTTTCTAATACTTAAAAAACAATTCAAGGAGTAATGCTTAACAGTTTGAATCATAATATTTGGATACTTTGGTGTGTCACTACAAATGCAAGCATTTTTAAGTTTTTAAAATCCCAAAGAGCCACTTGAGCCTGAGAATAGAACAAGTACCTTGATTTTCAATCTGTATGCTGTGTTGAACAGCTTTAGTAATAGATAAACTAAATTGATGTATTTTGTGTAGTCTATTTAGCATTAATTTGAGTAGTACACAGCATAAATGAATGGGTTTAAAAGTGGTTTTGATTTGCTTTTTAAAACTGCTTTAGGGGTCACTGCTAAGTTAATAAGTAGAAACCAGAAATGCTTTTTAAGTCTACTCTTAAGAAAATGAGGGGAAGACTCTACTTTCAGAAGTGAAAACTTGGTGCAGGAAAGCAGGCCTGCTCTGTGTGTGCATACCAGAACACAGTGGCACTTCTTTAAGGTGTGTCTCATGATTTTTCCACATAAGAACTGTTACACATGCCATGAATGGGGACTTAAGGATTTAGTCTGTAAGAGGAAATTTCCTGCTGCAACACTTATTACTGTAATGTCTGTCACCTGCTGAATGAAATAATTGGATTATATCATTGCCTTATTTCTCTGGCAGCCTAGTATGTAACACTGCATTATATTTAGCACCAGAGGGAGCCAGCAGTGTTTGCATTGGTTTAGAAAATCACAGCATCGCGTTTTAATTCTTCACATTGCTCCTCTGTTCAGTACCTTAACACCACTGAAATTGCAGGGTTTGGTGCAATGCTGAATGCCTTTTGAGGCTGACCTGGCACTGTGGATATCTCTGGTGTGGTCCTGGCAGAGTTTGTGTGGCAGGGGGTGCATGTAGTAGGTACATGAATAAATGCCAAATATGTGGACATATGACACAAGCTGCTGAGAATAACACTTGTGCATGCAGTGTTCTCTTGCAGACAGCATAAGTGCATTTGAACAGGACAGGCGGATTTGGAAGTGCAGTTTTTGTTATCCCTCAGACTGAAACAACATAGACATTCTTAAAAAGTTAATGACTTGTTAAGTCATTAACTTTTGAATCCAAATCTGAATTAGGATTAGAAGTTTTCACTGAGACAAAAGAAGTAGATTTTCTTTGCCTTGTATCAAATTGTCCTGACTTCAGTAGATGACATGAAGCTGTATGTGCTCTGATAGTGCTCATTTTAATGCTAGTATAAAGCTGTAATTAATTTAATTTTGATTTGCTTGTTAAGTTCTGCAGCATTAGCATATCCTGAGTGATAATTTGATGCCATTTTTGAGGAACCTGAAGCTTCATACCACCCATGTGGTGAGTGCATGCTTGTATAATAGGGAGTCCTGTGCACGGAGTGGGGCTGCAAGGAACCTTCTCAGAGTGCTTTGCTGTATTAAATACACTTTGCTTCCAATAAAAGTGTTTAAAAGATGCCATTATCTTTTTCCAATATCACAAATCACCCAGGTAACTTGTGGGTGAGGCTTCTGTATGTCTTGAGCTGGTAAATGTTCAGGAAGGTTTTGTTACAGAGTAATAATTTTAGCTGTTTTAAAAGGTCACTTTTTCAGATGTGAATGCTAGTTACACTGGGGAAATTAGTTTTCATCTAATAACCTAAATCTTGGCAATAAATAGAGGATGTTGGGCTAGAAATCACCTATTTAATCCGGCTGCCAGGCCCTGGGAAAGGCAAGCAGTAGTGCTGTCGCTAGATAGTTACACTATTGGCATGTGGAGTACCAGATGTTCTGTAGCTTTTCTGGGTTGGGCAATT